TTCTTCTTTTCCTCTTCGCTGATGCCCTTCAATCTCTAGGAGTTGGGCGAGGAGGATGAGGAGGTTGCGGGGGGAGGAGGAGGTCTACGGAGGTCCTCGGTGGTTCTGGGAGGCACCTGGAAGTTTCTGGAGGCGCCCACATTGCCGAATATTGCTAGAAATTTAGATCATCGAACCTCGAGGATCGAGGATTTTCCAGCAATCTCGGTCGCAGAATTCCGAGGATCGAGGAGGAGCTGGAGGAGGAAACGATCGTTGCCCCAGCAGTCGCTGCAAGTTCCAGCGGCCCGACAGTTACTTTTCCGATGGCCGTGGAAAGCACCCCATCGGATGGCCTCTCGACTACGGCGTGTGCATCCAGGGTTTCGATCCGATCGATTCGATTTCGATGTTTTCGAAGGCATTCGAAAGGCATGAAAAGGTTTTCTGGATCCAGGGTGGTTTCGATCAGCTGCGCTTTTTCGAGAGCGATCTGAGGATGCCAAAATTGTCCCGACTGGCCGCCTGACCCCCGAGTTATGGCCCCAAAGCCATCAGGCCTTTTTCGGTCCGATCAGTCCGATTCGACATCGATTCCAGCCGGCTCGATCCGATTCGATTCCGATATTCCAGCGGTCCAAAGCGGCCCGACGTTTGCATGGCGTTGTTGTGCATCTTTGCGCAGCTAGTCCGGTTTCGACTCCGTGCCGATGCAGCCCGATCTGACGCACCTTTTCTTATTCCGATCTGATTTCGGGATCCGATGCTGACCGATCCTGGGTTAGGGCTGGCACGAGGCTTCAGGACAACCCTAGCTTTGGATGGCACCTGCATGTTCTCGAAGACAGAAGGCATGCACGCACAAACATGCGGAGGACCGCGTTGACCTCTCGGGTCGGCGCAGGACCCTCCTGGCGGCGTCTCCGGCGCCGCCCTTGGCGCGCTCGGCGCGCCAGAGATGACGGCCCCAATTCCGACCCAAGACATCCGCGCGGTTTTCCCAACGGAGACGTTTATTCGTTTTTTGTGTTCCTCCTGGGAGTGCTCTTCGCGTTTTGGGTCTCTCCACCTTGGAGTGTTCTTCGTGTGTTCGGGCCCTCCGCCTCGGATTTCTCGTCGAGTTTCGGGCATCTCCAGGGCTCGAGCTGAGCGGTGTTTTGGCGATCTCGCCGACCGATTTCGTTTTGATTTCGTTTCGCAGGAACGCCAGAACGAAGACAGAACAAGGGACAACTAAAACAACACGAGAACGAACATTGGCTCGAGCCCTGCCTTGGAGCGCTCCTTGCGTTTGGGGTCTCTCCATCCTTTGGAGTGCTCTTCATGTTTGGGCTCTCCACCGCGGAGTGCTCTCCGCGCTTGGGGCATCTCCACAGGCCCCTGGTCTTCCGGCGACGGGGGTCCATAGAGTAACAACTGCCTCGCATGGGCGTCGGGTCAAGTCGGGCCCGCCCCTCTACAGGGGGAATATTCAAAAATGGTTAAAAAATAGTGCGGGGACGATCTTTTATTTTTTTTGCCCATTGGGGGGGGGATGTTGTAATTATTTTGCATTTTTCGCCCAATATCCCCCGGTAGGGGGACACGCCCGACTTAAGCGTAGGGTCTCTCTCGCCACTCCGACCCAGGAGGCCTGCCTACATGCCTCCGCCTGCCTCCTCTCTAATCGCCATGGGGGAGGCGGGTCCTGAGGGAAAGGGGGTCCTGAGACGTTTCGCCGTTTTCGGGCTCTCCAGGGCACGGTCCCTGGGACTGTCAGACAACGACTCAGGATGAAGATTTCGTTCTGGGGGAAGGCCCCGGGGTCCAGGACCCGTTTCCCACAGGACCCGCTTCCCCTTGTGCCAATCAAAGCACGTATACTCAGGAGGGGAATTACTCCGACGGTAGGACCCCGCATGAGAATCTGTTTAGCTTACCCTTTGCCCTTTCCTCCTCCTCCTGGCGGACACCCTCTCCTCTCGCCCCCATAGGGAGGGGGCTCCCGCCTGAGACTTCCTCACAATTCACTCACAGACGAGGCTCCCGCTCGAGACATCCTCCATATTCAGGTCTCGAGAGCCCAAAAGTGACGACAGTTGCACGCTGCGGATGACCCGCTCGGATTCGAACATGAAGTGCGCGCCCCATAGGGAGGGGGCTCCCGCCTGAGACTTCCTCACAATTCACTCACAGACGAGGCTCCCGCCTGATACTTCCTCCATATTCACGCCTCAAGAGCCCGAAAGTGACGACAGTTACACGTTTCGGATGACCCGCTCGGATTCGAACATGAAGTGCGGGCTCCATAGGAAGGGGGCTCCCGCCTGAGACTTCCTCACGATTCATTCACAGACGAGGCTCCAGCTCGAGACTTCCTCCATATTCAGGTCTCAAGAGCCCAAAAGTGACGACAGTTGCACGTTGCGGATGACCCGCTCGGATTCGAACATGAAGTGCGGGCCCCATAGGGAGGGGGCTCCCGCCTGAGACTTCCTCGCAATTCACTCACAGACGAGGCTCCCCATCGAGACTTCCTCCATATTCAGGTCTCAAGAGCCCAAACGTGACGACAGCTGCACGTTGCGGATGACCCGCTCGGATTCGAACATGAAGTGCGCGCCCCATAGGGAGGGGGCTCCCGCCTGAGACTTCCTCACAATTCACTCACAGACGAGGCTCCCGCCTGCTACTTCCTCCATATTCAAGCCTCAAGAGTCCAACAGTGACGACAGTTACACGTGTCGGATGACCCGCTCGGATTCGAACATGAGGTGCGGGCCCCATAAGGAGGGGGCTCCCGCCTGAGACTTCCTCGCAATTGACTCACAGACGAGGCTCCCGCTCGAGACATCCTCCGTATTCAGGCCTCAAGAGCCCAAACGTGACGACAGTTGCACGTTGCGGATGACTCGCTCGGATTCGAACATGAAGTGCGGGCCCCATAGGGAAGGGGCTCCCGCCTGAGACTTCCTCACGATTCACTCACAGACGAGGCTCCCGCCTGCTACTTCCTCCATATTCAGGCCTCAAGAGCCCAAAAGTGACGACAGTTGCACGTTGCGGATGACCCGCTCGGATTCGAACATGAAATGCGGGCCCCATAGGGAGGGGGCTCCCGCCTGAGACTTCCTCGCAATTGACTCACAGACGAGGCTCCCGCTCGAGACTCCTCCGTATTCAGGCCTCAAGAGCCCAAAAGTGACGACAGTTGCACGTTGCGGATGACCCGCTCGGATTCGAACATGAAGTGCGGGCCCCATAGGGAGGGGGCTCCCGCCTGAGACTTCCTCACAATTCACTCACAGACGAGGCTCCCGCCTGCTACTTCCTCCATAGTCAGGCCTCAAGTCAGCGAGTAGTGATGATGATGATGATGATGATGATGATGATGATGATGATGATGATGATGATGATGATGATGATGATGATGATCGTTCGATGCCGATGATGGTGAGTGATCGTGGGATGGTGATGGTGATGCTGATGGTGATGATGATGATGATGATGATGATGATGATGATGATGATGATGATGATGATGATGATGATGATGATGATGATGAGTGGGGAGTGATGGTGATGGTGATGATGATGCGGAGGAGGAAGCAAAGAGGAGCAGAGGAGAGGGAGGACGAGGAGGAGGAGGAGATCCTGCGCGGAGGGTGTGCAGAGAAAACAAGAACCCCACTTAGGATGTGGGGAAAACACAGACACCTAATCTTCGATGACCCTGGAAGTATGAAAAAATATGGGATGTGGAGGGGAAGACGAATTTCCAGAATATATGGAAGAACCTAGGGAATCTTGGAGTGTGTGTTTGTTCATTTGTTTGCCCCTGGTCGCCCTCATATGCGACGAATGCATAAACAGTCGGAGGTCCGCCTAGGTCTCCTGGATCGTTGCTGGACCCCCTCCCTGGCGCGCGGAGCGCGCCAGGGGGGTCGCCAGGGGCGCTTCCAAGGAATGAGCGCCGGCAGATCGACAAAAATCCGCACATAATTCCGACTGTTTATGGTTATGCAGTTTTTCTGACTCTATGTTTCTGGTCCTGCTCCTCCAATCCTCCTTCCACTCTTGCACTCCTCTTTTCTCCTCTTTTCTTCTCCTCTTCCTCTTACCCTGCCTTACCTTGCCTTGCCTTACCTCACCTTGCCCTACCTCCTCCTCCTCCTCTTTCTCCTCCTCCTCCTCCTCTTTCTCCTCCTCCTCCTCCTCCTCCTCTTTCTCCTCCCTCTTCCCCTCCGCTGGCACCGTCGGCGCTGACTGGAGGAGCGCAGGGCAGGAGGGCCCAAGAAACCCGCGCCGTGGCAAGAACTTCCACCACCCGCGGAGCCGACCAAGGAGACCATCCCGGGGTTCTCAACACGCTCCCTCAGGACGAAAGACATGGAGGGCTGGTCGGCCGTATCGCCGGAGCGCTTCCAGGACCAGCGAAGACATGACCAGCACCGACTGCAGAACAGGAGCTTGATTCAGCCCTCTCCGCATTCCAAGACCGCGAGAAGAAGTTCGAGTAGACCGCCGAGGACGTGGCCGAGGAACAGACGCGGCTGAATGACGCCCTGGCGCGCCAGGGGCAAGCAGCACTCGAACTCGCACAAGCTCAGAAGACCTGCGCACAAGCTCATGACAAGCGCCGTGCCAAACTCGCTGGCGCTGCAGGACGAGCAAAACAGAACACCGACCTATCGATATACGACGAGACCACCAAGGCGCAGATGGAGCAATGGAGGCGATACGTCGACGAACGAGTCAGGGCCCTCAGAGAAGGCCACGAGTTCGCCCGAGAAGCCGCCCGCAAGGTCAAGGAGTTCGACGACAATCCTGCCAAGCGGAAACGCACGACCAAACGGCAACAACCGCCGCTTGTGCTTGCCGCTGGAGGACGAGCAACCGCAGCCCCCAGCAGCTGCTGCGGGTCGGCCTACAGCACCACCCTCCTAAGATTTTACGCCACTCGCAGATCGTGCGGCTGAGCCAGCAGGCCCTGGACATGCAGAAAGCAGCTGATTTTTGAGCCGTTGCCGCCCTCATCGAGAGCGCCGCCAAGGCCAAGGAGCGGCCCAGTCCGCAGCGGGAGACGGCCAGTGCAATCGAGCCCCCGCCGCAGCTGCTGGGGCAGCCGCCGCGGGAGGAGCGCCGCCTGGGCAACCCGCGCCAGGCGCAGTTCCTGTTCGGGAACATCACCGAGCGGGGGCCGCCGGCGTCCAACTTTTGCCGAGCGCCGGGCAGCCAGCCCCACGTCCTCGCTATGACTGAGACCCGCGCGGGCGCGAAGGGCCTGCGAGAGCTCTGCGGCGCGCCCGCCGTGGACGGCCCGAAGCTCTCCGCGACGCCAGCCTTGGCAACCAAATCGGGCGCGGGCGCCCGCGGAGGCGAGTGGATTCTCACGCGGCGAGACATCGCGGCCACCGCCTCCGATGGCTACAGAGAGTACTAAGTGCAATTTCAAGACGCACAGCGTCAGCCTTCCGCGGGCCTCGCGCCCGCTATCCCGCGCGTCGAGAGCGGCGGCTGCGCGGTCGTATCCGCGCGCTTGCGGCGGGGGCGCCGCGACGAGGGGGCCGACGCGGGCGTCCTCGCGTCGATCTCCCGTTTCGTGAACGTGCCCATCGCCCCCCAGGCCATCCCGGCCGACTGGAACTGCGAGCCGCGCGGGTGGGGGGGCGCGTCCAGGTTCGCCGGACGGGGCGGCGCCGTCGTCGCCGACCCAGGGCGAGCGGCCATGCGCGACAGGAGGGAGGGCTCAGCGCGCGACAGCGCAGCGCAATCGCCGTCAAGGACCTCGCCGCGCACGTCGAAGCGGAGGCGATCTACGACGCGCCGCGGGAGACGCACTGCGGCGCCCAGCTCGCGGCGGGCGCAGCCGAGCCACGGCGCCACGAAGCCATCGAGGTTTCCAAAGCCCTACCTGCGAGAGCCAGACCCAGTTGGTCGCCGACCCAAATTGCAAAAGGTCCAAGGCTCGCGAGGCGCAGCGAACCAACCAGTCGGGAAAGGTTGCCGGGACACCTGCGCGCCGAGTTCGACGCGCTCCAGGTCGGCAACGAGCCCGCGGTCGCGAACGACACGCCGTTCGTCACCCCCAGCGACCTCTGGGACAAGGCGGCGGCCATCGTCGCGAGCCTCCCTAAGTTCGAGAGCCACCTCGTGGGCGCCAAGGAGGACGGGGGACGCATCATCCACGAGTACTCGCCGAACACCACCGAGCTGGTCACTTCGGCCTACGCCCACCTGGGCGGCCACCATGGAGGAACTGCGCATCAATGATGGCGAGGGCCCCCAAGCCCAGCGCCGCATTCGCAAGATCGCCATCGCCAAGCTGGACCAGCTCGACAACCCCGAGTTCCACAGGGGCCACTTCGGCACCAGGGTTGACCCCGCGGAGGTTGACGACCGGGGGCCCCGCGCCGCCTGCCTGGGCTGCTGCGACGAAGGCGACCTCCAAAGTGCATGCGCCAAGACGCAACGATGGGCGGGCCGCGCCATGGCGAGGGCTGCTTGCAGAGCCCGCAAGCGTTACCCGGATTGGGCCAAGAAGGCATGGAAGGAGCCTTCCGGGAAGTTGCACCGAATTGTCGTCGACCCTAGCGCGCAGGAGCTGGAGACCGAGCTCGACCGCAGCACCGTCGGCGACCCCTGCGCTGGCGTGATCAAGGCGGCCGGCGCGCGGAGGCAGGCGCGGGCGACCGACGCCGGCGACGAGCAGCAGATCACCCAGGTGCAGGCCAACGCGACGCGCCCTGCCAGGGGGGGGGGCCCTCCCCATCGTCGAGCCGCAGCGCGTCTACGCGGCTGCCAGCGTAGCTGACCCCAAGAAAGCGCGAGGCGTCGACAACATTGGACCGCTCGACGCGCAGCGCCTCCCGCCGAACGGCATCGAGCAGTTGGCCGGCATCTACAGGTACGTAGAGCACTGCGGGCTCTAG